TTTATAAATAAATAAATATCAGAATCTTTTATAAATAAATAAAATTAATTAAAAAAAATCTTTCAATATTTCTTTTACCTCTCTTTTATGAATAATCTGATTGTTTTAGATAATTTTTTAAGCTTATATACTTCTAACACATAAATTACAAAATAATTTACAGTCTTAAAGATCTTAATATATGTATAGCCAAGTTTTTTGCAATAATAATTTCATCTTTCTCACTTTTTGTTAATCTTTTTCATAATACATTATGTGGTAAAATTTAAAGAATAATTTTTTAAGAGAAAATTATGTATAGCTTAACTTCTGGATATATTATATAAAAATAAGATTTGTTTTGATTATAAATTATCATTATATGTAAATAATTTATTATAAAATAATTGTCAAAAAAAATATAATGATATAAATTAATTTAAAAATATGTAAAACATCTAATCTTTCTTTTACCCCCTGTAAATATACTAAATTTATTATAAATTTATAAATATTATATCAAATTTGATGATTAATATATTACTTAAAAGCAAAAAAGTTACAGAATAAAATTTATTAGGCTTAAAAATTGATTCATTCACCTTTGCTTTCAACAATCAACTCACAATGATATCTCATCAAATTTATTAAATTATTTAGAATAATTTTTGGAATAGAATCCCATTCTTCTATCAAAAACTTTTCTAAAACATCCAAATTTTTAGGCATTCATTTCTCAACATTAGTCTTAACAATGGTCCATAAATTTTCTATAGAATTAAGATCAGTTTGGATAGTTTAGGTACAGAATAGATACTTTCATTCCAATAATGTGCATCTTTATTTACAAGTAGTTAGTGACATTTTGATAGCAAATTTTGTGAGAGTTTATTTAATAAGTATAGTAAATAAACCTATTATTTAACTTTAATTTAGTAAAAAATGGCATAGATTAAGCTAAAATTGAAGATATTTATTTATTGTCTAATGTGATTGATAAATAGTTAAGTTTTTTTGTCCCATACTGTATTTGAAAATGATTCTATTTTTTTAATTTATGATTATCATAATGATCTGGACGTTTTTCGATTGGCAGAATTTGCAAGTAAATAAATGAGTAAACTGAACACTATTACATGTACTGTTTAATTAGTAATTCCATATGTCGTTAGCGTTAGTTTCAATAACGGGAAACTATATTATTATGCGCAGCAAATTCAGTGGAAATTCTGTTGAAATTCTGTTAAACTTCCTATCCACTTCCAACAATTTTCCAACTAATGATCGATATAAAAAGAATAAACATTCTTATACCGAGAGAATTTGTCTTATAACAAAGGTTGTTTAAATACATTGACTTAAAACCATCTTATATCAAAATTTTCTTATATCAAAAATCACTTTCTAGACAAAAATCAATTCTACTCTGACAAAACTTTATTGTAAGTTCTACAAAGAACCTTCTATTTTATATAAAACATTTTTCTGAATGTATATCGTGAGTGTATATATGAATTTGATGTGTCCATTATAGGATGAGCCAACTAAAATGACATTTTTTTGCTATACATATTAGCTTCTTGCGAACTTTAAAGCATTCGACACGAATCTAACATGGATGATTATCTGAATGAGACTTCAATTGCGGACACCTTAAACCCTGTGTCAAAATCTAATTTATCGTTACCCATCGCAGCCGATATTCCTCTTGAAATCTTTGCAAACATTTGCAAATACCTACCGCCTTTCGTCTTATCCAAGTTAACGAGAGTATGCAAACAATACCGAACATATCTGATGTCCTCCGCGAACCAGTATATCTGGCGTACATCACGATTAGAATTCCTCAGTTATCCAAAGCCCCTTCCGGAAGGCATGACAGAACAAGACTTTTTCAAGCTTACGTCAACTATGAGGGGCTGCCAATTCTGTGGTACTCGTAAATCTCGAATTACGCTTCACTGGGAGTTCAGGGTCCGCTGTTGTGATGAATGCTACCAAACTAAAACAATAAAGTATGTATTAATTTAGAACATCATTGCGTTAATTGGAAATATTTATAACTCTTTTTAATAAACCAGATTAACTAAGGATGCTGTTCCCCTTGAAGTTGATGGCCAAAAAATACCCGAGGAACTAAAATCATGTCTTTCATATCAAAATCCATCACATAGAAACTTATTTTTTGGGGTCCAAGTAAAACAAAAAGTATTCTGGATTCCTGAAATAACGGCTACTGCACGAGAATACGAAAACGTCTCTTGCTCTGAACGTCAGGAATGGATCCTCAAAAGACAAAAAAAGAAAGATTGTTGGTTGAAAGACTTCAAGTCCGAGTTTAGGAAGGAAATGACTAATTGGAAAAATGAAATCCTACATAGGTATAACACCGAAAAATCTTATCTACTGGAGGGCGTCCTTAAAAGAAATCCTGCAAAGAATTGCGATCTTTTAAAACAATACGCACGCACAGCAAGTACGGTAGCTCCTCCGAGATTTTACGGATTTAAGCTGAACGAAAATGATTGGTCTATTTGGCATAATAGCGCGGCAAATAAACTTATAGAAAAAATTGCAGGGACACGAAAGAAGGAAATTCAGAAAAAAATACGTTCTTTGATCTCACCTCAGCCAAAGTCAAACGCGCACGTTGTAAAGAAAGTGCAATACTTTAAAAATCCTCAGCTAAAATCAAACACACATGTTGTAAAGGAAGTGCAATACTTTAAAAACCCTCCATTGCAGAATAATATAGAAATATCCGCAGGCTCGACCAGCATCGAAAGATCGAATCAATTCGTCATATTGCCCACGGACCCACTTCTAAAATGCTTTAACATCTGCCCTTCCTATATTAATCCTCCATATCATGACAATGATCTGACGAAACCGTGGGAGGAAAAATTTTTGACGAACACCTTGATTCCCCGACTTCAAGAGGAAGCAGCCAAACTTTATAAATGTTATTATGGCATGACAGAGGCGTGGGCGCGACAAGTCAAATGTGCTTGTGAATTTGGTTTGGATTCATTTCCTGTTTTTACTTGTCGTATTTGCGGCATCGCATCCCAAGGAATTCGTATTTTCAAATTTCAGAACATTAAACAGCATCTTCGATCGCAACATCTAATTTTTGACTCTTATGCGGATCATATTGGTGTCGATGCCGAAGAAGCTATTTATCATTTTTGGCGTTCGGAAAACGGATTACTTTTCAACGATAAATATATATATCATTTTAACATTCCATTTATAAATAATTAACATAAAACTTTGTTCTTTTGGACGCACCTCGATATAGTCACTCTCGATGTAGTCACCATTTACACCAACTTATTATAAAATATTATAATCACTATCATCTTTAAGAAAAAAATAACGATAATAACGACAACCATAAAAAAAATAAATAGAATTGCGATAGAACTTACCCAAAACAGAATAGCGATAGCACTAGTTGCATCGAACACTTATTTTACCCATATTAATTATAGTAATCCAACACTTATCGTTATTTTTTTATTCTTACAATATTTTGTTTGAAACCTTATTTAGTATAGTATTTGTTACAATGTTTGGTCCATTCTTTAGTACAATAACCGATACAATGTTTGGCACAATATTTGGTACAAGGTTGGTACAATATTTTGCCCCTTTGGTATGCTATTTCGACCGACTTGTAAATAGAATTATTCTTTAGTATAGTCCAAACAAACAAAAATGTGTAAACATAGGCGCTCTTGAACCTTCAATCAAGACAAGTTATAATAAAAGTACAAAGTAATTGAAACGGTATTACCTTTTTGCTTGCATTTTTGAACTTCGGTTTTACGCTTTTACCAGAAGAAAGTCGTCATTGTTGTGATTCCTTTGTAGAAATCGCCTAGCGGTAAAGAGACTTATTCGATCGTACATCTTGTAATCCTTAATCCTTAGAAATCTATAGTTAAAATAATCTTGTGCCCTTTCTCCATTCTCTAAATCATTCTTTATAATAAAATAAGCATACCTTTACCACCCATAGTAATCTTAGTTACTAGCACATTACCTTTAGAATTTAGTAAAGAAGCCCTCCAAGAAAGAATAAACCATTCTAAATCTCCACAAATCCGTTAAGCCTGCCCATCTTTGAAATCCAATAGACTGGATAGGTGTAAGTCGACATAAATATTCGGAATGTCGATCTGGTGCACAAAACGTCGCATAACGTTACCAATTTTAAACTAATACGTGTATGGTGCAGGTCACTTAAAAGTGTCATTAGTCCGAAATTTTTTTTTGATAATAGCATGTGATTTTTATATAAAATTATAAGCAAATTTATAAAATTGCTGCCGATAATAAAAAAAATTTTTAATTATATATAATGTATGTTATTATATATTTATTGATTTCCCCACTAAAAAAATTCTTTGCATTATTACTAGTTTCGTCGACCAATGGTCTCTTTGTTATTTCAGAGATCACAAATCTCTCTTTTATTTTGTCCACGCTGCTGGATAACATGTTTAGCTTTGCTGGGACGTGGTATTAGTTGAAAAAAAAATAAATCATCAGCACATGCATATATGCTTATCAGGAAAGTTCGGAATTATCATAATGTTGTCACATGATCACATATCGGAATTTCATGGGAGATAAGTCCAAAATTTTAATTTTATTAATAAAACATCTAATTTTTAAAACCTTATAACACAAAATATTTTTAATAAATATAAAATTTGAAACCATAAATATGAAATTCAAATGGCCATTCTATTATAAATATTGTGTTAAATTATTATTCTATCATTATATATAAAGTTATAAGATCTCAAAATTGACTAAAATTTTGATGGCTATAAGTGACCTGCACCATATAAAATTGGAATTGCTTTGTTTAATAATAAACACAACAATGTAAACATTTTTGCCATCAGTTTTTACACCTATTAACAAAAAAATAAAAAAAAATACCACCTATTTCCAAGCATGAAGTATAAAGAATGTGATAAGTCAGCTTTGGGCAAATAATATCTGGAAATCTGCAGAAATTGTGTGAATAACAGATTTTTCTAAGTCTATGGTGTATGATATAATCAATCAGATTAAAAAATCATCAAGTATTATGCCATTTTTCAGACCTGAAAGATCTCCAATTCTCATAGTTGAATAACATTGTATTCTTGACCAATTGATATAGATCAATAATGTCACTACTGCAGTTAAAATAACTGAAAGACTTAAACAAAAAGATCCTAACTTGAAAGTTTCCATTCATACAATTCAACATATTGTTACCATAGTAGCATAAAAATCTCTAATTTCTTAATCTTTTCGTGGTTATGCAAAATTACATTTTCTTATAACTTTTATATTTTATAATTATTTCTATATTTTTAAGTCATATAATTATCCCGTATTATTATGTTTCTATATTTAAATATTATTTTATTTTTAGTTAGGATCTGCATTTTTATTATTTTGTATTATGATATTCATGTACATAGTAGAATAGTG